TTTTTCTCAAAAAAAGTGAAAGATCAAAATGTAACAATTATATATTAATATTATTATTGTATCACTATTTGAATTAAATACAAACACACACAACACACACACACACATCAATTTAGTTTCTGAGGTATGCCCTTTAAAAATGTTCAGAAACCTTCAAAACGTCGAAAAATGCAATAATTTTTTTCATTTTCGATTTTCGGCCCATTACTATAACTTGCCCTACGGGAAGTTAAAAAAAAAAACAGATTTGATATATTCAAAAACATTTTCTTTGGGTAAAACTTTATTGGTAAAATTAGTAACTATTATAAAACATCGTCTTTTATTATTTTATATAATAAATTGTATTCATTCCATTAACATAATGAGAATTAAATCAGTAATATTTATAATATATATAGATGAAGGAATTTACATGCTGCCAGTTGATGCAAATCGATGATAAATATACACGCACATATATAAATATGCAATTTAGGGTGGTCCTTAATATGGACATTTTTGAAATTCATTGTTCCCAATGGCTCAAATGGTTCCAAAGGGATAAAAGAAAATTCTCTGAAAGTTTTAGCTCCTAATATTAACATTTAGATAGTCCGCAATTCAATTGAAAGTTTCGTATATTTATTTTAAAAAAATTTCTTGCGCCATCAGTGATTTTAATCAGATTGCGGACTATCTAAATGTTAATATTAAAAGCTAAAACTTTCTGAGATTTTTTTTTATCACTTTGGAAGCATTTGAGCCCTTGGGAGCAAAGAAATTCGAAAACATGTCCATATTAAGGACCAACCAAATATATATACATACAGAGTGTCCCGAATAAAACTTAGAAAACAAGAAATCTAGCCCTAAAACTTAGAGCTTTGCTCAAATTGTGATCATTTTTCACAGTTATTTATTTTTATTTGTAAAAAAACTTAATTGAATTGCGGACTATCTAAATATTAATATTATTATTATAAATTTTACATGATTTTTTTTATTAATTTAGAAACATTTGAGCCCTTGGGAGCAAAGAAATTTGAAAATGTCCGTATTAAGAACCGCGTAAATAACTTTTCCAGTACGACAGTCCGAAATAATGATAAAGTTAGCCCAAATTTTCAAGAATTAAAACTATTTGTTGAACAGAAAATTTATCGGCTTTGATAAAATGAATGATCTCCTAAAGTAAATATAGTAAAAAGTAAAAATAGTTTAAAAAAAAGCGAGTAAAAGAATATAAACCCGAAAATAACCCAATATTTTGTAACGCATTTCACTCCGTATTTCTACTCTACTATCTCAATCCATCTCAAAATTAAAAAAAAAATGGCCTGACTTAGCAGCAAAAAAATCGAGTTACTATCAAGTTTATTTTTCCCGTTGAGTTCTGGGACACCCCGTGTATGAAATTTTGCATAAATTCTACTATCTATCCATCTCAAATTTAAAATCGATTTTTAAATTAAAAAAAAAAACAAAATCGATCTGACTTAGCAAAAAAAAAAATCGAGTTGTTTTAAAGTTTATTTTTCCCGTTGAGTTCTGGGACACCCCGTATATGAAAATTTCGCATAAATTTACATGTGTTATAATAATATCATGATATATACAATTTCAACCAACAATACTTGCATGCAGCATGGAAACGTACTATTTTTATATTATAATATATATTTTGTAAATCATATATATATTATTAGGTTTGTGTAATATGATTCGCATGTACCGAGAGGGCGATAATTTGTGAACAACCTTGAAAAAAAAATTATATATATATTAGGGTGGTCCTTAATATGGACATGGAAAATTCTCTGAAAGTTTTAGCTTTTAATATTGTCTTTTAGATAGTGCGCAATTCTATCAAACTTCGTATGGAAATAGCATGGAAAAATTTGGAAAATTAGAAAAAAAAATGTTTTAGGTATAACTTAGCGACAAATGAATTAAAAGTGAAAGTTCTTGTCATTTTTTCTTGAAAATTCGACGCTCTGCAAAATTTTTGAAATTTTTTTCATGCTATTTGCATACAAAACTTTAATTGAATTGCGCTCTATCTAAAAGACAATATTAAGAGCCAAAACTTTCAGAGAATTGATTTTTTTATCAATTTGGAACCATTTGAGCCCCTGGTAGCAAGGAAATTCGAAAATGTCCATATTAAGGACCACCCTAATATATATATATATATATATATATATTATAAAAAGGGCACAAAAAATCTAGAAACAATAGGCTGAACCATACGTGTAAATTACAATTCTATTTATACTGATCGTATTTTTATTATGTCTTATTTCAAATACGTCCCCTAAATTTGCAAACAAATTTAGCTCGTAAGGGGGGGCGTCCATTAATCACGTGAGGGGTTAACAAAAATCACAAAAATCACGTTATATTTATTTTTTTATTGAATTAAAAAAAAACAAACATTTTCAAAAAAAATACAAAAAATTACGTTGTACTTATTTTTTCATGGTATTAAAAAAAAGCAAACAATTAAAATAAAATAAGATTTTTTTGTAAATTCGAAAAATTACTACACGTGATGTTTGATGGGGGGAGGAGGGGTAAGTTTAAATATAACAACGTATCACCAAGGAAAAGGGGGGCTCAAAAAATCCCTAAAAATCGATCACGTGATTAATGGATGTCCCCTGAATTTGCGAACAAATTAAGCTCGTAAGAAAGGGGGCGTCTATTAATCACTTGAGGCTTTTAGGGGGGAGCGGGGTTTGACAAAAATCACAAAACATCATGTATATACATTGAATTAAAAAAAAACAAACAAACATTTTCACGCATTTCAACCATTTTTTCGTAAATTCGAAAAATTCCTTCGAAAAATTTTACGTAACAAAAAATACACGTGATGTTTGGTGAGGGGAGGGAGGGGGGTAAGTTTAAATATAACAAGTTTTTGTATAACAACGTATCACCAAGGAAAAGAGGGGGTCTAAAAATCCTTGAAAAATCGATCGCGTGAAAAATAGACGACCCCCCCCCTCCCCCCTAAGGTGGGGGGGGGACCCACGGTATATTCTAGTTCAAAAAAAAACAAATCTCACAAATCAGTTCACAAGTTCTCGCCCTCTCAACATGTATATATATATATATATATATATATGTATATATATATTAGGTTGTCAAATATCTCCCTTCCGCCTTTTTGTATTATAAACCAAGAGCAAAAAAGCGGAAGGGAGATATTTGACACCCTAATAATATATATATATATATATATATAAATATATATATATATATATATATATATATATAATATAATCATATATTCTTACACAAAGTTTTAAAAAAATAATAGACTTATCGAGTAAAATCACAAAATGCAACTGGTACATCAATTTTCAAGGGAAGTATTACGCGTGGAAATATATATATATAAATCGATTTTATAAATAAATAAAACTGCACAAATCAGTATTTAAAAAGTTTTACAAAAAAAAATATATATATATGAAAATCAAAAATAAAATTTATAATAAAAAAAAGAAATATAAATGCATATAAATCAGTATTAATAACAATTGTGTAAACTAAAATTGTGTGTTTACATTTATAGAAAAACAAAAATAAACATAAATGAAACGTGAAGCCAGAGTGTTGTATGTATAAATAAAGACCTGATTGTTGTACGATCCCTCCCCTGTCCCCCTCGCAAATAAAATTCATCAGATCGTTTAACCAAACTGGAAACTGAAGTTTCCCCCGGAGAAGCCCCCGGTCTGGAAGAACGGGTTGCCCGAGTATCCCCCCGCGTTGTCGAAGAACGAAGTGAACACCTGGGTGGGATCGATGTCGTGCATTCCGTGGCCCCCCATGTCGTCGAGGATCCTGGCCATTGTCGTACCTGACCCTCTTTTTGGGGTCCGTCAATATGCTGTAGGCCTCTCCTACTTCCTTGAACTTTTTCTCCTGCTCCTTGCGCTCGGCGTCGGAGGCGCTCGCGTGCCGGTCGGGGTGGTGGACTAGGGCTCGTTTTCTGAAAAGGTAAATGAAAGTGTGGTCAAACAAAAGATTCGTATACATATTGTTTGTTTTTTTACAGTCTTTTAAGGAAGTGCTAAATGTGAAATAAAAGATATCAGCCTCCCCCTTTCCCCGCGTATTTTTAATTACTTGAAAACATTGTAAAAATTGTGATTTTTTTTTTGAAAATGTTTATTTTTTTTTAAAAAAGCTCAGGTAAAAAATAAATACACGTGATCAACACACCCCCCCCCTCCCCTTAGAAGCTTCTCATGATTAATGGACGCATCCTTAGGGATCGTTCGAGTATTACGTAAGCAGATTCATTACAACTATTTACCCCCCCAACCCCAGCAAAAGTAAGCAAAATTTCGGCACATTCCTAAAAACGTAATTTTCGGCACTTTCCTAAAAACAATTGAAGCAAAACCTAAAATTACAAAAAAAATTAGAAAAGTTATCATTTTTTGGATATTCTTCTACAAGATGTAGAATTTCAACATCCCCATACAATAAAATGACAAATTCGGCATTTTTACGAACAAGTGATGCATGGCATTGTGCCCTGAAGCAAAAATTGCTACAACTTTAATTTTTTGAACAATTCTGAAAATTTGGAAAACACTTAAAAAATTTGAAAATGATTGCATGCCTGAAAAATTATGAAATTTGTTGCTTTTATTTTTGAAAATTTGAAAATTTTTGAAAATTCTATTCTATTTCAACAGTTTTATGTAAAAAAAAAATGTAAAATTTTGACTTTTTTTAAGAAATAAAGACAAATTTCGCTATTTTTCGACAAAAAGACACTTCTACATGGAAATAAAAAAATTCCTACATTTTCATATAAAAAATCATCAAATTTCTACATTTTTTACAAATAATAAAATCTTAAAAATAATAATTCCAAAAAAAATTTAAGAGATACGTTTTTTTCTTTCGTAAAAAAATGACAAACCATAAATCAATAAATTTCAATAATTTTCTACAATAAAACAATATATTTCAACATTTTTATATAAAAAAATGTTGAATTTTGACTTTTTAAGAAAGAAAGACAAATTTCGCAATTTTTTGACAAATAGACACTTTTCTACATGAAAATAAAAAAATTTATTAAAATCATCAAATTTCAAATAAATTTAAGAGATACGTTTTTTTTTCTTAAGAAAAATAACAAATTTACTTTAAAAATGAAATAAATTTCAATATTTTTCTATCAAAAATGATAAATTTCAATACTTTTCTACAATAAAACAATACATTTCAACATTTATATATCAAAAAAATGTAAAATTTTGACTTTTTTAAGAAAGTAAGACAAATTTCGCAATTTTTCGCTAAAAAGACAATTTTCTACATAAAAAGAAAAAAAATCTTACATTTTCATATAAAAAATCATCAAATTTCTTAAAACATTTTCTCATTTCATAATATACAATTTTCGTCATTTTTTAAAAATAATAATTCAAAAAAAAATTAAGAGAAACGATTTCACTAAAAAAAAACAACCATAAATCAATAAATTTCAATATCATTCTACAGGAAAACAATACATTTCAACATTTTTATATAAAAAAATGTAAAATTTTGACTATTTTTAAGAAAGAAAGATAAATTTCGCAACTTTTTCGACAAAAATACGTTTTTCTATATAAAAATCAAGAAATTCTACATTTTCATATCAAAAATCATGAACTTTCTCCATTTCAACATTTTTATATGAAAAAAAACGACAAATTTTGATATTTGTTTTAAGAAAGAAAATCAAGTTTCGTCAAGGAATTCCTACATTTTTATATAAGAAATTATGAAATTTCTACATTTCTTAAAATGTTTTCTAACTTCATGAAATACAAATTTCGACATTTTTTAAAAATGAAAATTCGAAAAAAAAAAAGAAAAAGATTTTTTTTAAAGAAAAATGGCAACAAATTTATTATAAAAATTAACCATAAATCAAATTTCAATATCTTTCTATAAGAAAAAAACCTTCATATTTTTATATAAAAAAAGGTAAAATTTTGACTTTTTTTTAAGAAATAAAGACAAATTTCTTTTTTTCTTTTTTAAGAAAAATTTACTATAAAAAAATCAAAATATCAAAAATGATAAATTTCAATACTTTCTAAAAAGAAAGGAAAGAACGATTATCTGCCTTTTTTGAGAAAATCAAATTTAACCATAAAAAAACTCGAGCGCATATAATTTAAAAAAACACAGATAAAAAAAAAATTCAAGAAAATTTGATTTTAAATTTTGCGAAATTTTAACAGGTTGCCGCAAATGACGGCTATAGCGGTCCGATCTTTATCGATATGTAGGCAAACAATAGCTATAGTCAGTGGTGTTATGCTAATATTTTATTTTGCCAGAACGCTAAAATTAAAAACCGGTTCAAAAACGGGTTTTCATATTTGTTCTGGTTCCGTTCGAAATGTAAAGAAACAAAAATCATTAAAAAACCGATTTTCTGAACATATATGTATGTTTATTACAATAATAGGAACATTTAATAAAAATTAGTTGAATTATAATTTATAAAATTCACTTATTAAATCGTTTTATGTATGTAGCGATTTTAAATTTTTTTTGCCGGAATGCGTTTCGGCCCAAAAATGATTTGCCGGAACGACGTTCCAGCGCGTTCCGGCTCGACAACACCACTGGCTATAGCCGTCTTGCACATTTTAATTGTTGAAAAAAACAGCATTAGTACGAAGTGTACCGACGCATACTCTTGTCCATTATTAAATAATACATCTAAAAACATATATACATCATACATCATAAAAAGTAAGCACGATCGTGAAATTAAAAGTGTGCGGCAACGTGTTAAACAACGTGTTTGTGTGATATTTTTTTTGTCTATGTCTATTACTACTTCACTAACCTGTAAGCTTTCTTAATCTCATCATCCGTCGCATTTTTCTCGATGCCCAATATCTTATAATAGTCTTTTCGTTTGCTCTTCTTCAATGCCAGTTTAGCATCTTGGAGCAACCGTCTGTTTTCCCTAGATTTATCCATTTTGTGCGCCTTTTCATAATCCTTGACGGCCTCCTCCCAATCGCCCAAGTCGCCGTAACATTTGGCCCTTCTCAACAGAGCTTTTAGATAATTTTCATCCAATTTAAGGGCTGAGGTACAATCGACGATGGCCTCTGCAATTTTATTCTGCCTAGATAACACCGTGGCCCTGTTGAAGTACAACTTCGAATTTAAGGCGATGTTTTGGGGATCGATCTCCAAAGCCTCGGTGTACAGAGTGTAGGCGTCTTGTAGTTTACCAGCTTTGAAGGCGTCGTTGCCGTCCTGTTTTTTCTGTTTTAGCAAACGAGCCTTTTTATAAATATCCATGGCCTTGGCGTGGTCTGGTGCCAGTTTTAAAACGTGTTGAAAGTGTTTGAAGGCGTGATCGATGTTGTCCTGGTAGTATAAACACATTCCGCGCACGAAGATGGCATCGGCGTTGGATTTGTCGAACATGAGGATGTCGTTTGCGATTTCTTGGGACTCTTGGTAGCGGCCGAGGAGGGCGAGGCATTCAGCTTTTCGGATTTTGTACCTGGAAGGGGAAAATTTAATAAAAAATGGTTGCAAGTAGCATTTTGCCTTAAGGTAATAATCTGAATAATGAAATGAATTTACAAATTTCAGTAAAACTTGTTACAAGAAATTCATTAAAAGTGTATATTTTGTAGCATACTTAATATGAGTTTCCGGATTCTATTCGAAATGACCTTTGAAATGATACCCAACATGCCAAAAAAAAAAAAAAATTTTTGAAGTAAAACTTCTTTAAACTCGTTTACAACAAAATCATTAAAAGAGGATAAACCATATAGATAATTTCAGTATTCTAATTTTATACAAAAATACATTTGAAACCATACCCAACATGTCGAAAAACACAATTTAAAGTTTTTGAAGTAAAACTTCTTTAAGCTTAAACTTATTGTAAGTAGCATTTTGTCTTAAGGTAATAATCCAAATACTGAAATGAATTTACAAATTTCAAACGATACCCAACATGCCAATAAAACATAATTTAAATTTTTTGAAGTAAAACTTCTTTAAGCTCCTTTACAACAAATTCATTAAAAGTGGATAAACTTCATAGTTAATTGCAGTACATATTTGGATTCTATTCAAAGAGACCTTTCAAACGATACCCAACATGCCAATAAAACACAATTTAAATTTTTTGAAGTAAAACTTCTTTAAGCTCGTTTACAACAAATTCATTAAAAGTGGATAAACTTCATAGTGAATTGCAGCATATTTGGATTCTATTCAAAGAGACCTTTCAAACGATACCCAACATGCCAATAAAACAGAATTTAATTTTTTTTGAAGTAAAACTTCTTTAAGTTCGTTTATTACAAATTCATCAAAAATGTATAGATAATCCAAAATTTTCAGATTGTATTTTTAATAGCGTTTGGGGTATTAAAAATAATTATACACAATTTCTAATACACGTGTGAAACAATTCAGAATGGCCAGAAACGTCGAAAAAAGAGGAAAAAAAAATTGAAGTCGCTATCAAAATTGAGTGAAAGAATTAAGTAAGAAAGATTAATAAGTATTTTTGGATAACATTTTAAATTGTTGACTCTCAACTGCTAAAACTAACCTCCAAATGGCACAATTGCGATTTAGATAAAATTTTCAACTGTTTATTACAAAAAGAACACATTTTACTTGCACTAAAAATTAGTCAATACGATTTCTAATTGCTTGTCTTTCAAACATATATATAATATACACTTTTAATGAAGTTGTAGTAAACGAGCTTAAAGAAGTTTTACTTCAACAGCTTTAAATTGTGTTTTATTGGCATGTTGGGTATCGTTTGAAAGGTGTTTTTGTATAGAATCCGAATACTCAAATTAATTATGTAATTTGTATACAAAATATACACTTTTAATGAATTTGTAGTAAACGAGCTTAAAGAAGTTTTACTTCAAAAATTTTAAATTGTGTTTTTTTTTGGCATGTTGAGTATCGTTTGAAAGGTCTTTTTGTATAGAATCAGAATACTGAAATTAAACACGTGGTTTATCCACTTTTAATGAATTTGTAGTAAACGAACTTAAAGAAGTTTTACTTCAAAAAATTTAAATTGTGTTTTTCGGGCGTGTTGGGTATCGTTTGAAAGGTATTTTAGAATAGAATCCAAATATACTGCATTAACTATGAGGTTTATTCACTTTTAATAAAGTTGTAGTAAACGAGCTTAAAGAAGTTTTACTTCAAAAAATTTAAATTGTGTTTTTTGGGCATGTTGGGTATCGTTTAAAAAGTATTTTTGAAAAAAATCTAAATACTCATATTAAGTATGCGGTTGGGCCACAAAATATACACTATTAATGAATTTGTAGTAAACCAGTTTAAAGAAGTTTCACTTCAAAAATTTTAAATTGTTTTTTGGCATGTTGAGTCTAATTTGAAGGCACTTTTGCATAGAATCCGAATACAAAAATTAGTTATGTGATATGTCCACAAAATATAAATTTGTAAAAGCGGAGGAGTCTAAAAAAGTTTTACTTCAAAAATTTTAGAATGTCTTTTATGGCATGTTGGGTATCATTTGAAAGGTCCTTTTGAATAGAATCTAAATACTGAAATAAGTTTCCCAACTTCTGAACACAAAAAATTTTAATTTTTTTTTGCAAATTACAAAGTAATGGCTATTTGATTTTTTTTAAATAAGCGAGGTGTAAAACTTTTGTAACAAAAACTAACATTAACAATGCCCTTTGTCCACAAAATATACACTTTACAAACTTGTAGCTGAAAAGTCCAAGTTTTTTTTCGCATGTGGGGTATCATTTGAAAGGGCATTTCTAATACAAACCGAATACTAAAATACGTTTTTAATATACCCCTTTTACAAATTTGTAGCAGAGGAGTCTAAAGAAGTTTTACTTCAAAATTTTTAGATTGCATCTTATGGCACGTGGGGTATCATTTGAAAGGTCTTTTTGAATAGAATCCGAATACTGAAATTTTTTTTACAAATATCTAAAGTACTTGATGTTAAATTAGAATTTATTATACGCAATTTTCAAATCCTGTGTCAAACAATTCAGAATTGTAAAAAACGTCGAGAAAACGGGGGGAAACAATAAAGTCAAGTCTATATAAACTAATTAAAAACTAAAATTTGTTAAATAAATTAATTATATTGTAAAAGTATTGTAAAGCTTAATAAAATACTTATTAAATTAAAAAAAAATACTAGCAATATTTAAAAATAATTAAAATTAACTAAATATAAATAGGTTTATAGTAAATAAATTAAATAATAAATAAAATAAATTAAATAACATTAACTAAATATAAATAAGTTTTTAGTAAATAAATTAATTAATGAACAAATAAGTAAGAAAATAGATAATAGTTAATTAAATTATATTAAATCCGCAATATATTGACTTGAGCCTTATTTTAATATTATTATACCGACGGCTTGTAGAATAAATAAATAAATAAATGACAAGAAACGTCGAGAAAACGGGGAAAAAATTAAAGTCACTATAAATATTGAGTGTAAAAAAATTAATTAGTAAGTATTTCAACATTTTAAATTGTTGACTCTCAACTGTCAAAACTAACCTCCAAATGACACAAATAACATACCTAAATCAGAGAAAACAAGGAAAAAAATTAAAGTCATTATCAAAATTGAGTGAAAGAAAAATTTATTAATTAGTAAGTATTCTTGGATAACCTCCAAATGCCACAAATAACATTTCTGATTCTCGCAAACATAAATTATAAGTAACACTAGAGTATCTTATACAAATAGACTCATTTTTTTGGTAAACTAATAATTAACTTACCTGTGACATGTAGGTGTGTAATCGAGTGCCCTATCCACATAATAAAGTGCACTCCTAAAGTCTCCTTTGCTGAAAGTCTTTTCATACTCCTCCTCCTGTTGTCGCAGGGCCGTCAACGTGTTTTCCTCCTGCGAAAGGGCCGTCGAGTTCGGTTCAAGTTCCTTCACTTTTGTGATTGCTTGGTCGAGTCCTGCCAAATCTCCTGAAAGAGGGAAAAAAGATATATATATATATATATATATATATATATACTAGCTAACCCGGCAAACGTTTTGCCATAAAAAATATGCCTAAATTGATAAAAAATTAATAAAAGCGCCAAAAATCAAATATTCAATATTTTTGGACTCTGATTCTTTGACAAATAGTTAAAAACTTGTCATAATTTTCAAAATTATTTGACATTTCATACTCCAAAAATTAATTCACTCGCATCATAGTTTTTTGTTTATTATACTTTTGCCATTTCATATATGTCAATAAAATTTTCTTACAAATATTATTTATTTGTTAATAAATTAATAATTATTTTAAGTCATCAATGAATAATTATATAATTGTTAAATTCATAAGTTTGGCTAAATCAACACAGGAATATTGTGGAAATAAATATTGTTTTACATAAAGATCTGATTTTTGACATTTGCATTTTATTTCAAATTAATTATAATTGTCAAAATATTTTCTTTTCGGTCAAAATTTAATATAATATGATATAATATTTAGTTTGTCTAGTTTCTTTTTGTCAGATTCCAATGATACCCTCAGATTGTACTATTCCATTTAAGAGATTACAATTTCCTGTAAGATTAGCATTTGCGATGACAATCAAAATATATCTTAACTGATATAATAATAATAATATTATGTTCTAATTACACAAATTTCTTTACACTCCGATAAATAGTTCCAACGCATCATAGTGTTTTGTTTATTTTAATTTTGTTTGTCATTTTTTTTTTAAATTAAAGAATAAATTATATTTTAGTCGAAATCAACGCATTATCTTTATCTAAATATACAATTTTTTATATAAATATTTGATTTTTAACATTTGCATTTAATTGAAAAGTAGTGAATGTCAATTTTATATATCCAATATGCACTAAATTTATAAATGTCAAAATATTTCCTTCTTGGTCCAAAATTAATATAATATGATAAAATTTATTTTACAATCAAGTTTTGTATCTATAATTTGCTTGGCAATATTGCCTATAACATAACTTGGAATAATTAATTTATTTGCTTCTTATTGAAGTAACTCGTTAAACATTTTTTTTGTGAAATGTCAAAAGTTTGTTTATGATTAATTTTAAATTCAATATGCCGCTTTTTATTGTGATCTCTGATCTATGATGAAGTTTTGGTTTCCAAAATAATTTAGTAAGCTAATCAATTAAATCTAAATCGTAAATCCATTTATATAATTATTTTCATAAATATTGACAAATGACATTTAATTTTTTTACATGTCAACATTTATTTAAATTTTTAAGCATTGTTTTTTAATTAGATTTAAAACTATAAACAGTGATTTTGAATATATCATTTCATCAAATTTGGATTTAAATTTTGGATATTTCTATATATGTACATGTTTTTGAATTTTATTTTTTGAAATGTCAAATTTTTTTTTCCAAAAATTATATATCAAAATTTCCTTAAATTTTGACATTTGTCATTTTAGTGTTTTGTTTTTTTTTTTTTTGTTCATTTTCTGTCAAAATTTTTAGAAATTTATAAAAATTGTATATTTATATTTCAAATTTTCTTTTCAAAATTTCCTATAACCTAAGTTGGATATATATGCACACAATGAGCCAATAAAATTTAAAATCGGTTCAGTAGTTTGGGCGTCCATCGCGAACCAACATCGTGACACGAGATCTATATCTATATCTATATCTATATATATATAGATATATATATATATATATATATATATATACGTATGAACTATAACTATATAATTAAGTTTTATCTTTTATTACCTAATGAGACGCAACATTTAGCAATGCGAATATATCCTTTAACAAAATTTGGGTCGAGCAAAACGGCTTTTCTTGCGTCTTCCAAAGCGTTTTTGTATTGCGAAAGCATAATGTAGCAGGCGGCTCTGTTTCCATAGTAAGATGGGACATCTGGGCAAAGGGCGATGGCTTCTGTATACAAGGGCAGGGCTCCACGATAATTTTTCACTTTGTATAGTTCATTTCCAGTTTCTTTTTTGGCCTCTGCCAGACTGAAAAAAAATAATAAACAAATCTTATTAATTAATCAGATTAATATCTTACTAAAAGGCATTTCTAAATGTTGTTATTTTATACAATAACTATTTTGTTCATAAAGGGGCGTCCATTAATCACGTGAGGTTTTTGAAGCAAGGGAGAAGTTTGATAAAAAATCAAAATATTACGTGGGGGAGGTCAGTATTCGGATTCTATTTAAAAAGACCTTTCAAATGATATCCCACATGCCTACTAAAATTTTTGAAGTAAAACTTCTTTAGACTCCTCTGCTACAAATTCGTAACAAGGGTTTTTTAAAAAGATCCAAACATGTTGAAAAAAATCAAAAATTTTACAATTTTTTCTCGTAACTGTTAATCACGTGATCGATTATTTAAGGATTTTTGGAACCCCCACGCCCCTTGGTGATATTCAAAATTACCCCCTCCCATCCACCAACATCACGTTTATTTTTAGTTAAAAGAAAAAACTGTAATTTTTCTATTCTTTGGAATATGTTTGGATTTTATTAAAAAACCCTTGTTACGAATTTGTAGCAGAAGAGTCTAAAGAAGTTTTACTTCAAAAATTTTAGTAGGCATGTGGGATATCATTTGAAAGGTCTTTTTAAATAGAATCCGAATACTGAAATAACTTTTCAAAATTCTAAAGTACTTGGTGTTAAATTAGAATTTACTATACACAATGTTTGTAATAAATAAATACACGTGATACTTTACTAGTGTTTTTTTTTAATAAATTTGTATTATCAATTCAATGATTCAAAATATTCTATGAAGTGTATATTATTATAAAAGACAATTGATATTTAATGATAAGGAATACATATGAATATGAATCATATATCATACAATTTTTACAGATAAAAAATCATTTCGACATATCAAAGTGCTTTGAAGTGTAAAGCTATTGTTAATGAAATTCAAATTGTTAATGAAATCAATCGAAAATTTCTAAATTAATGCATTATTCTCCATCTATAAATAATTATTGTTTTATTCGGCGCGGTAGATTTTTTATTATGACTAATGAATATACTTATATACAAGATATAAAAAAATATTGTAGAACAAAGTTTGTACTACATTTACCATTATTCGTAAATGATTTTTCAATTCCCCTGTCAATGAATGCTAGGTATGTGAAAAAAATATCAATAATAAGTGGAATATTTATAAATTTTATTTATGAATTTAAGATTGTAATATATTGTAAAACTAGTGTACAAATGGTACATCTTATTTTCTGATCATTTTGCTAAATTTATATAAATAATGTAATTGTCCACGAGAGTTTTGTTTAATCAAGCTAGAAAAAATTGATTCAGGTGCTCAAATCATCAAAATTAAAAAAAATCTATTTGTCATTCAACATTTAAAAACGACAGTATATCTTAAAATTGCAAAATATTACCAAAAACAGTAAAATCTTCTCATTTAGAATGAACCTAAAATACAGTTCGTTTTTTTGGCATTCAGCAAAATATTGCAAAATATTATTATTACCATAGAAATTTCTTTACCAACACATAGATTGCAAAATATTGCAAAACAGTACACAAATTTTACGTAATTATGTCTAAATTTCACTCAAATTTATAAACATTCCACTTATTATTTATATATTTTTTTCACAAACCTAGCTTTCATTGACAGAGGAAATAAAAAATCACTTACAAATGACAGACATTAGTATAAATGTCTGTACAGATTTTACATATTTGTTCTACAATATTTTGCAATTATCATAAAAATATTCATTGTTAAATTTGAATGGAAGTGTGTAAAAGAAATGATATATTATTATTCATATTTAGGTTTTTCGATAATGAAATTTAGAAATCATATGCAGTAAATATTATGCATTCTTAGTATTTAGCTAAACTTATTTAGTAAATGTAAGAGTTTTGTTTCAAGCATCAATAGTCAATGAACATTGAACAATTACAGTATTTAATATTGCAAAACATTGTAAAATCTACTCGGCTAGCTTGATTTTCTTTGACATTCAACAAAATATTTATAGAAATTTCTTCACCAACACAAGAGATTGCGACATATTGTGAAACAGTACACGAATGTTAAGTAGTTACATCTAAATTTCTTAAAATTCATAAATATTCCACGATATTAGCAAAGGTTAGTCAACCTAGCTTTCATTGACAGAGAAAATGAAAGATGTCTCACAAATAATAATGGTAAATGTCTGTACAAATTTTGTTTTTACATCTTTGTTCTATAACATTTAGCAATTATAATAAATACAGAAATCATATCAAGTATCTATACCCCAGAATCGAAAAAAACTGAAAAAATTATGGCCAATTAACTTGATTTAGTTTCATCGAATAATACATACCCACTGAAGACACTATTTATAATTAAATTTCAGTATTGTCAATCAAAATAGCTCATAGAATATAACTAATGTCTTAATATATATCGAGCATCCTTAGAATTGTGTTTAATTTAGGATTTATAACCTAAAAATTATTCTGATTTTTTTGATGTTTAATAAAATATTACCAAAGAAATTTCTTCACGTACACATGAGATTGCAACATATTGTAAAACAGTACACAAATAGACAGTAGTTCTGTCTTAATTTCAAAAAATTAATAAAAATTCCACTTATTGATATTTTTTTCACAAACCTATCCTTCATTGACATGGGAATTAAAAAATCACTTACGAATAATGGTAAATGTCTGCACAAACTTAACATTTTTGTTCTACAATATTTTGCAAATATAAATACAGCCATTGTTAAAGTCATATACATGTTTATATCCATATTTAAAACATTATTAGTGTTACAGTAAACCATAGTAAAATCTTCTCACTAAGCCCAATAATAACCTCAAAAACATCCAAATTTTCTGTGACATTTTTACAAAATATTTATACTACACATAATATTGTGTATATAAGATAGTACATGATACCATGTTATGTCTAAATTTCAACAAATTTACAAAATTTCCACTTATTATTGATATTATTTTTTCACAAACCTAGCCTTCATTGACCATGAAAATGAAAAACAACTTACGAATGACAGAGACTTGTGTAAATGCCTCTACAGATTTTACGAATTTGTTGTACAATATTTTGCAATTATAAATACAGCCATTGTTAAAGTCATTGACATGTTTATATCCATATTTAAAACATTATTAGTTTTACAGCAAGCCATAGTAAAATCGTCTCGTTGAGCAATGATAACCTCAAAAATAGCCAAATTTTCTGTGACATTTTTACAAAATATTTACATTGCACATGATATTGCGTATATAAAATAGTACATGATATCATGTTATGTCTAAATTTCAACAAATTTACAAAATTTCCACTTATTATTGAAATTTTTTTTTCACAAACCTAGCTTTTATTGACATGGGAAATAAAAAACCACTTGCAAATGATAATGGTAAATGTAGTACACAATTTGTTTTAGCATCTTTGTTTTACAATATTTTGCAAATATAAATACAGCCATTGTTGAAGCCATTGACATGTTTATATAGATATTTAAAATACTATTAGTTTTACAGAAAACCATAGTAAAATCTTCATCTTTAGCTGAGCCAAATGATAACCTCAAAAATATCCAAATTTTCTGTGACATTTTTACAAAATATTTACATTGCACATGATATCATGTATATAATATATAATAATGTATATAATATTACCATTTTGCAAAATTATAATATCTATTTTCCACTTACTATTGATATTTGCAACAGTCATACACCAAGCGTTCATTGACCGTAGAAATAAAAGATCGCGTAGGAATGACAGGCAACCTATCACCCATGATGTTTTAAAAATAATGTGTTTGCTATTTAAACGAATACATAAGAAGAAATTTTGTTTACGATGTTACGTACTGAAATTTTGACGGAAAACTTGAACTTGTCTCATGTTTATCACCATGGCACACTCGGACACAGACACATAAAAATTTATAAATTCGATCATATTTTGTTTGTTCTACTCACGTTTCGGGGTTTTTCGGTATAATTTCCTCAATGTCCATGTCGATGACTTCGTTTGAGCCAGCAGAACTTAACACATCGGCCATAATAATAATAATTATGCGATTATTATATTATTTTCGCTTTTAATTGCACTCATGAGAAGAGATGACGGACCGTCGGGTCAAGGGATTAGTGTTGACGTTGCGCGCAGTTCGACTTTCACTCGATTGGTGTTGCCATAGTGATAGCGAACGCGTCGGGCGCGCGCTAAATTTGAATTTGAAAATTAGAATTAGAATCATAGATAAATAAACAGACATTATAATCATAAATAATAAAAAAAATTAGAATCAACATTTAAATAAACAAACTAGCTGTAAGTGGAATTCTGTCTTAAGGCAATTAAGGCATCGTGCCTTAAGGCAAATTGCTGGAACTTCCCGTGCCAAAAATTATTATTTTTTTAAAAACGATTAACATTTTTGAAAAAATTTTACTTCGAAAAAATAAGATTTTTTAGAAATTTTAAATTGGACAAAAAATTACTTTTTTTGAAAAAAAAATTTTTTTTTAAAAAAAATTTTTAAACAATTTTTTTTGTAAAAATTTTTTTTTGGAAAAAATGTTATCTTCATTTTGACATATTTTGGAAGATCTGAACTTTTTTTCAAAGCAATCGTACTGCCTTAACTGCATAGAGACAAAATATAAAGCGCGTAAGCGCCGCGTCGCTGTCTAACGGAAAAACATTGGTACGGAACCCATAGGAATGTAAACAAAACTTATACTTATTGTTAAAATCTCAATAAAATATCTGATAATTTGATATGCATATGTCTAATGTCTAATGATTATTGTTGACCGCCAAATGTTATTTTTTTTAGTTTTTTTTACTAGATCTCCGAAACCGCTAGACCTATCTTCATGAAAATTTGATCAAATCTTCATCCTGTTAATACAAGTAAAATGTTTTTTGAATTATTCCAATCGGACGCTCCGTTCTCTTAAAAACTGAGTTACCGTTTTTGGCCCTTTTTGCCCCATATCTTCGGAATGGCTAGACCTGCCTTTGACAAAAACTAATCAGCACGTCTCCTTATCAATACGAATCGAATGTTTTTTGAATTATTCAAATTGCTTCATCCGTGTTCCCGAAATCGTCGACGAAAATTTGTATCCGAACACACACACATGGACGCACACACACACACACACACATACATCAATTTTCTCCAAGGTATGCCAACATATTCAGAAACCTCTGAAACGTGAAGATATATAAAAATTTTCATTTTCGATTTTTTTGCGATTACTTACCCTATGGAAAGTTAATTATAAATAAATCAATTTATCATCTCCAGAACATTAACAATCGTCATTTCATTTCGAATCAAATTCCAAAAAAAATAGTTGCCAAATTTACACAAAATTGAAAAAGTGCTCCCGCATAGTCACAGTCTAAACGCATTTGCAAATAATTCTTTGCGACATTTTCACTTATACTGTGCTCAGCTTGGCGGCATTTTCACATTTTTCAATAATTTTCACAAAATTGAAAAAGTGCTCCAGTACACAAACAGTCTAAACGCACTTGCGTAAACATTTCTACCAGAGTGGCGCTTAGACTGTGCTTAGCTTGGGTGATTTTTTGAATTTTTAGTCCAAAATTACAAAAAAAAATTTTTGAAAAAAAATTAGAAACAAAAAATTTTTTTTTCCAAAATCAATTGTTTTGTTGAAAAAAGCAGAAAGTTCTTTGAATCATTTAAATCGGACGCTTAGTTCTCTCAAAAACAGCCATTTTTTTTAAATTTAGCTCGGTATCTCCGAAACCTCTGGGCCTACCTTTGCCAAAAACTAATCAGCACATCTCCCTATCAATAGGAATCGAATGTTTTTTAAACCATTCAAATCGGTTGATCCGTTCTCTCAAAAACTCGCTTTCTATTATTTGCACTCTTTGCTCCATATCTCCGTAACGGCTGGACCTGCCTTTGCCAAAAACTAATCAGCACATCTCCCTATCGATAGGAATCGAATGTTTTTTAAACCATTCAAATCGGTTGATCCGTGCGCCCGAAAACGTGGACGAAAAAAAGCGGACATACAAAACACACACACACACACACACACACACACACACACACACACACATCCATTTTTTCTGAAGTATGCCAAAATGTTCAGAAACCTTCAAAACGTCGAGAAATGTAAAAATTTTTGATTTCGATTTTTGGACGATTACTATAACTTACCCTACGGGAAGTTAATAATAAATAATAATAATAATAATGAGAGTGAAAAGAAATCAGTGATATAATTATATATAACTATACATGTAAATTGTTTACATTTTACATATTTAAATAAATATAAATGTAATCTGAGTATACACTACTTATGCTTATTTAATATTAATAATATTTAGATATTCAATAATACTATCAATATCAAAAGAGTAATAGTGCTCTGTCATACATCGAACTAGTGGTGTATGGCATCATGCTGGAACTTCCCACACCAAAAATTAAAATTTTTAAAGTTTTTTGAAAATTGAACAAAAGAGATTTTCAAGAGTTTTGAAATTTTTTTAGATTCTTTATTTTCGAACTTTTATCTAAATAGTAAAAAAAAGTCAAATTGTTTAAAAAAAATCAAAATACTCGAATATCTCATTTTTACAAAAGATCTAAAAAAATTCAAAATTCTCGAAAATCTCATTTTTTCAAAGGTTCTAAAACGATTTTAAAGCTGTTTTAAAAATTTTAATTTAAAAAAAAATCTAATTTTTCAAAAAAGTCATATTGTTTTAAAAAAAATCAAAATTCTCGAAAATCGACGTATCGAAAATCTCATTTTTTTCAAAGTTTCTAAAAAAAATGTAAAATTTTTTTAAACATTTTAATTAAAAAAAAAATCTAATTTATCAAAAAAGTAAAATTACTTTAGAAAATTTCCTTTGAAAAAATGAGATTTTCGAGAATTTTGAAATTTTACCTTTGAAAAAAAAAATGAGATTTTCGAGAATTTTGAATATTTTTAAAACAATGACTTTTTTAGATTTTTATACATTAGATTTTTATTTAAATTAAAATTTTTGAAACAGCTTTAACATTTTTTTTACAACTTTTGAGAAAATGAGGTTTTCGAGCATTCAAAACAATGACTTTTTTGAAGAATTTGATTTTTTTTTTGTATTTAAAACTTTTTTCAAACAAATCGCGCTACGTTATCTGCACAAAAACGGAATATAGAAGCGCGTAATCGCTGCGTCGAAGTTTAACACATAAACATTATTATGCAAACCACAGAAACATAAACAAAATTTGTTCTTGTTAATAAAATCTCTATAAAATATCTGATAATTTGATGTGCATATGTCTAATCATCAATTTTAACCGCCAAATGGCGCTTTTAACGTTTTTTTTATATTGAATTTCCAAAATTGCTAGACCTGCACTTCCAAAAATTTAATCGGTCCTTCATCACGTCAATACAAATAAAATGTTTTTTGTATTATTCAAATCGAACGCTCCGTTCTCTTAAAAACTGAGTTACCGTTTTTGGCACTTTTTGCCCCATATCTTCGGAACTGCTTGACCTGCCTTTGAGGCAGGTAAAACGTAAATTTATTTGGTAAATATAATAATAATAAATTAAATATAATCATAGATGATAAAGAAAGGACTCTACTGACGACCAAATTATAATTAAAACTTAGAAAACAAAATAAGGACTCTACTGACGAGCAAATTGAATATCAACTTAGACGATGAAGAAAAGACTCTACTGACAAGCAAATTAAATATAGTCATAAAAGGTAAAAAAGGACTCTACTCACGAGCAAATTGAATTTTAACCTAAATTTAAGTAAAGGACTCTACTGACAAGCAAATTGGATATAAAAGTAAATGGCAAAAAGGACTCTACTGACGAGCAAAGAAATATCGACATAGTGAATAAAAAAGAACTCTACTGGCCTAATAAATAAAAGACAAAAATAGGACTCTACTGACGAGCAAATTAATAAATAACCTAGAAGATTAAAATAGGACTCTGAAATTTGACAATGATAAAAGGACTCTACTGACGAGCAAATTAATAAATAACCTAGAAGATTAAAATAGAACTCAGAAATTTGACAATGATAAAAGGACTCTACTGACGAGCAAATTAAGACTTTAAAAATTGTAAATTAAAACCTGAAACATTTGCTACATTTGGAGCACAATTCCAAATATTTATTTGTATTTTATATTTGGTTGTTTTGTTATTAGGTTGTCAAATATCTCCCTTCCGCTTTTTTGCTATTGGTTTATAATACAAAAAGGCGGAAGGGAGATATTTGACAACCTAATATTTAATTGTAAAATTGTGATTGTATATCTAATACATCTAAATACACGAGATATTTCCCTGTACCCCTCCTTACCCAACGATATTTTGTAATTTTTTGTCAAAACCTTTAATGGACGCCCCCTAAGTGCTCTTAGCTCCAATCTGATCTTTCTCCACCATTAATAAAACAAATCTCGCAAATCGAATCGAAATTTATCATTACCAAAATTAATAATAATTTAAAAAAAAACTCACGTCTTAATCCAAAACTTCCAGCAGCTTTAATTGTTTGTTACAACATCTCGCATTGAAATTTTGAAAATAAATAATTGTTTCATCCACCTCATCCATCAACGTCAAAAACAAAACCCAATCCCAGTCGGCGGCGTCCAATTTCTTTGTTTCTCGTAATTTAAAATAAATTCGCGTCATCAATTATTTCCCGATTTTTATTCACCAGTTTTTCTAGACTAGAATTCTGTGTCGTCTAAATTCCACCCGCGGAAAAAATGGTTGTGTAAACGATTTTTTTCATTAGTTTTGTATTAAAATTTGAAATGTCCGGAGCAAGAGGCACCCAGGTCACGGACAGAGCGCGATCGTCGAAATTGAAGAGGGACAAACACGTTTCGAGGAGCAATCAGATCGATGATGATTTTTTCCAAAACTATACTGTGGACACACGACAAGTAAGATAAAAGATAAAAGATAATTAACTAATGGTGTATGGCATCGTGCCTTAAGGCAAATTGCTGGAACTTTCCGTACCGTAATGAAATGTTCGAGAAATTTTAAACGTCTTCAAATATATTATTAAAACAAATATTGTAACTTTCATTATTTTTGCTATCTTTTTATATCTGAATAAATCAAATGTCATATCATAAATCATAAATCAATTTATCACCAGA